AGCCCTTCTTGTTATTACTTTAATAAATGGCTTTTGACTATAAAATGTATTGATACTCCCTCTTTAGGGTAATTCCTCAGGCAAGGTTTATCTCCTCTTAGTAAAATAAAGTAAAGTTATTAGTATTGCATTATCTTTCCCGAACTGCCTCAAAGAAGGATATAGTTTTTTAACAACATCTAATAGAAGCTATACTTTCCTTTTGGATACCACATATACCTGTAAGGGATTCCTTGTGCTATGTCGTTATTATAGTGTGAAAATTAAGAAGGCTTTCACCTATAACAATATGAGTTAGATCAAAGATCTAGGCATATAAGAATAAATTAGTACATAATAGATCAGTAATGCATAAATTAGTTAAATAAATGTTATAAAGTTTATTGTTATAGAAAATGGTGTAAATTAAAAAGTTAAATATGCATAACTGAAATATTAATAATCAAATTGAGAATATAGAAAAATTAGCAAGTGCTTTTTATTCTAAAATCTTATTATTAGAATGTATTTAAAATACTTATCTTATTCAATCTGTGATGATCAACATAGTACAGAGCACTCAATGTTTAAGTTAGAAACTCTATAACAATGTTCAAACAAATAATGCTACAGTAACTTTAAAGTTGTCATTAAAATCAGAAGTACATTTCTAAATTAATTTATCAGTTTGATATTTATCGCTATTTTTGAATTATTGTAATAACTAATCCTATGAATCCTATGAATATTTTGCATAATACTATTGTTTTTAACAAAAGTAATATGCAGAATATTTATAAGATTTACAGACAGTTGCTGTACTAATTTGAAAATAGTGATAATACATTTGATTTGGTTCTATTACTTATATTTAAAAACTTTATTGTATTAATGATATATATAGGTTTAATAAAACAACCCATCCTTGAAGAATTTTAACATTATTTTTTTGTAATTATATAAACTTTCAAATGCTAAAGAATTTGTTAAATAATACTCAAAAATTAAACTGACAGCTTTTTTATTATTATATAAATAAGTCTAGAAAGCATATCTTTGCTTAAATTTTATTTATAATATTTGGAAGTGATTTTTTTTTTGATATATGCTATATAAAAAATTGATATTTTAAAGTAATGTGTTTAAACTTTAAATTATGAAATTACAAATATTATGATATCTTTTTTTTTATTTATATCAAATTTTTAAACTTCAAAATTATACAATTCTGATAATATAGTGATAGGCCTTGTATATAAAAACAAATTGAAATAATTTATCATATTTTTTTTACTTCAAAATTTGATCTTTTATTTCTAAATAATTTTACTTTACTATAAGCTTGATATTTATTGTTAACTAAACATAAACTTAAAGTTATTACTTAATCCAAATATACCAAACAAAGCAAACATGTTATCTTACTATATTGCAATTGTACTTCTACCAAATTATGATTATTTTCTTATTAAAGTTTGTTGACTTCAAGACTTTTTACTGCTGAAGGGTTTTCAATTGATCAATTCAAAGCTGATCTTTTAGTAAATATCAGTAGTGTTGAAGATGCACAAAAATAACATGTTGATTTTGAAGAATTATCAAAAACAACAATACTTCAAACTAAGGGTTATCAACTTAAAGGGCAGAAGGTCTTTTTTAGACAATTGCAATACTGCATTCATAGCAACATAGTTAGACAAAAACAAGAAAATCTCATTTTAAAAATCCTAATTTATTACGAGTTAGAAATACTGGATATAAGACTACTATTTATCTTCAAATTGAACAAAGAAACTTTTAGACTAATTATTTTTTTGAAGTAAACATTAAATATATATACAATTATGTAGTTCATTTTGCCAAAGCCCTTAGTTTCAAATATGTCAAAAATGAAGTTCATGATATATACATTGAACTTTTAAAAATAGTCATTAGCTACTGCCCAATTTATATATAAAGATAGTCTTTATTTGTATGCAAATAATGATCAAGAACTTATGCAATGATTAGCAGATCAAGCATGAAATCCTGATCATAATCACATTTCTAATTTGTTTAAACAATTCACAGAAATTGTTTAGGAGAAAAAAATGAAAAACCTATGGTTCAACAACTTAAGAATGAAGTCAACTCTTATAATAATTCTGGTAAAGGTTATGCTATTCTACAAGTGTATGACTCTTAGTTAAATAAAGCTTTTATTTTATATATTGTCACAAACTTAATAGTTTGTGTACATAAAAAAATCAAACAATTAGAAGAAATTTGCTATGTGGATGCTTCAGTGTCTTATGAACTATTAAACACATTAATTACTTTGTTCTACACAAGCTATATCATAGATGCATTGCCTCTTGGCCTAATAATAATGTCAAATAAACTAGAAATAACTTTTAAAAAGAGAATAATGATGCTAAAAACACTTCTTTCACAATGTGCATTTTTTGGCCAGAAGCCTGATATTGGTCTAACAACTTTTCTTACAGATGATTCAAATTCTAAGTGTAATGCATTAAAGCATTGCTAACCAAATTCAAATCGACTATTATGTGTATTTCATGTTCTTCAAGCCTTTTGGTATTGGTTATATAATCCAAAACATGGTATAAATAAGAATTATAAAATACCTATAATGAATATTATAAAAAAGATATTATATTTATATACTAAAATTAAAATAGTAAAATATTATAATGAACTAAAAATTAATTATTATAATATCTATTCACAATTGCAAAAGCATTTTGAATGACTTTGGAACCAGTAACAATTCTGGGCAGTATTATTTCATTCTGAACTTCTTTTGCAAGGTAATAATACTAATAATTATATAGAGCATAGTTTCAGATTGTTAAAAGATATTATCTTCTCATATATCTAGGCATATAATAGTATTTAAGTGTTTAAATTTATTATTACAAGTATGGAGCACTATTATGAATGCTGATTGCTTGGAATAGCCCACTTACACTCTGGTCATATTAGAATCACTAAAAAATTTTTATATTCTAGTTGGGATGCAATCGATGCAATAAAAATTTGACCAACTGAAAAAAGTACAGAGTACTTAGTTCTAAGTCAAAAAAAAGAAACAGAATTATTTTATATTGCTAATACAGAATTCTATACATGTACATGCTTCATCAGGCTTTCTAGAGTGCTATATAAATATCAGAATGCAGTGGCTGCAAAATATAATATAGGGTTACTAAATTTTTTTCTATCTTTATTACCTAATGATTATGCTTGCTTTGCATATATTGTGTGTGATAAATATCAATAATTTGACTTTAATTTAAAAACATTTTTGAATTAATACTAATTGTAAATGCAATAATCAAGGTGTTATAGCAGATAGTTTCTTTTATGCATCATTACATGTTCGCAAGAATAATAACTATGAAGAATCAAATATGAATAGAACATTAATAGCCAATATAAATACAAATCAGACTGAAACTAATCTGGATGTAAATGTGAATACAAATGCTAATACAATTGTAAATGTAAATACAAATGCAGATGTGAATACAAATACAAATATAAATACAGATGTAAATATAAAAGTAAATGTGGATGCAAATATAAATGCAGTAACTGATGTGTAGGTTTTTTTTCTTTGAGTTTTATTCAAGTATTTTTAGATTTATAATTAAACCTTTTTATTTAATAAAGATATAAACATATGAATATGTATGCAAATGCAGGTGTGAATATAGATGCAACTGCAGATATGAATGCAGTAACTGATGTGTAGGTTTTTTTTTCTTTGAGTTTTATGCAAGTATTTTTAGATTTATAATTAGAGAATTAACTATAAAAACCTTTTTATTTAATAAAGATATAATTGTGTGAATATGAATGTGAATGTAAATATAAATATAAATGCAAATGTTGATGTAAATGCAGTAACTAATGTGTAGGTTTTTTTTTTTTTTTAGTTTTATACAAGTATTTTTAGATTTATAATTAGCGAATTAACTATATAAACTCTTTTTATTTAATAAAGATATAATTATGTGAATGTAAATATGAATGCAGATATAAATATAGATGCAAATATAAAAGTAAATGTAAATATAAATGCAAATGCAGCAACTAATGTGTAGGTTTTTTTGGAGGTTTTATACAAGTACTTTTAGATTTGTAATTAAAAATAGCTTATATAATATTTTTTTATTTAATAAAGACATAATTCAGAGTTCTTTAATATATTTCTTAAAACAATAAAAGATAATTATGAACATTGTAGATCACAACTTCAAGCAGCCCTTGAGAAATTAACCAAGAGATACAATGCAGCAAAAGCCAAATCAATTCTAGTATTAATATCATTTCTTAATAGCATAAATTATAATTCGAATCCACTTAGGCATGTAAGAAGTGATGCTAAAATTCATGTGCAAGTTAAATTAATTAAGCATAGAAAAACTGAATCAAGTGTAAAAAAATTTAAAGACAAAGAAAATTGTAATTGTGATTCTCATGTTATTCCAGCATGCAAAGTTAGAGTGATTAGTAAAAAAAGACACAATCTTAGTTAAACCATTAACAAAAATAATTTGAATTGATAACATGTCCATGAATATGTTTTTTTTTTTAGTGTTCAAAGTATTAAATGAAATTTTTTATAAAGTTAGTTATTCTATATAATTTAAGATAGATGCAATTTGCTGATTAATTTTAGATTAAGATGAATATATAAATTATATATATATTGATTTTAAAGACTAAATTTATATTCAAACATTACAATAATATTTGTGAGTAATATATTTTGTACTGCTAGTAATAAAATTTAAAGAAACATAAAGTTTATTCTTTAATTTATTATAGAGATGTAGATTTTAATATTTTCTTATATAGATAACATGAATTTTTTGGTTTTATTATATAATCCTGATATCCAAAATTCTGATTGGACAAAATTAACTGGAACTACTGCTAATGCTAACCTAATACAGATTAAATTGTCAGAATTTTAACTTTGCCAATATTTTGGATATCAGAATTTTGTAGTAGAACCAAATTTTTTATGTCTTAATGAACATATCTAATAATGTTCTTTTTTAAAATTTTAAAATAATTAAATTTGAGCCTTTTCAATTTGTAACTATAATAATAATAATTTCATAACATGCATTTCAGGTTGTGTTACTAGTATTTTGATCAATTATAAAACTATACAAACTATATATTTATTATTATTAGATTAAATTTTTGTAATTGCTGAATTGTTATTAGTGGTTATAACCTGTTGTTTGTGAATATAATAAGAGTATATTATATGTTACAAAATTACTATAGCTACAAATTGAAAAAGATCTTTATTTTATATATATATATAATATTATTCTTATATAAAAATATTTAAATTAATGTCTATTATAGCATTTATATAAATATATTTATTGAGAGGATAGCAATATTAGTGTAGTGGTTGAATTGTCATTCTCTAAGTAGCAGATCTAAGGTTTAAATCTCACTTATGATGAAATTTGGAAATTATATTTGTGTTATAATAACTGTTTCTTGTTAATTAGTTGACCTTATGCAGCTGTAATCCAGGTACATCAAGTCAGGTTCTACCAATATTGAGAGCTCAGAGCATTTATGCAAAGTCTAACATTACTTATATATAGAGAAATGTATAACCAGTATTGCATAAGACTTCGGTACAAACTCATGATAAGACCACTAGGCATAAAAGACTAAGGAACTGAGGTAATGAAAACCCACTTGGAAATTCCTGAATAAAAAGGTAGCATGAACTTTTGATGATACCATCAGACTGGTTGAAGTCTACAAAACACCTTTATAGAAACCAAAGATTAAAACTAAACAGCAAATATGTGTAAAGGAGCATATAACCAACCAGGTTACCAAGTTCATCAGAGGAAAAAAATACAGAAGTATACCATACTGGGCTATCTGAATTAATAGTTTGAAATAAGACTGATAGTTCTAAGTTGTGGCTAGTAAAAGATGATGAAGAAGATGTTAGAAAGATAGGTACTGAGGTTTTAGTGAATTTTACAAAGATAGAAATAATGTGATATAGTGGTTAAACAGGTAATCTTTGTGACTGCAAGTGTTAGGTAACTATAATGTGTTGCATAAAACTAGGTCTATATATGTAGAATATAAAAGCTCTAGTAAGTTTTCTGTTAAGGATAAAGTAGTCCTAAGAGTAACAACTAGCATTGGAAACTTGGATAAGTAGCACTTTGTAATGTTCTCATGATACAAAGAGGACTGTATATGCAAAGGGTTTAAATAAGCAAAACTTCTAGTTGGCTTGCAAGCATAACAACTAGTGTAGAACTTTATAGCAATATGTAAGCAGACTACTTAAATTAGGCATCAAAAGTGCATGTGTGGCTAGTTGTAACCTTCAATGTAAGGTGAGCCTCTGGTGGCATGTCATGTTCTAACATACTTAAATAAAAATATCGCATTCCCAAGACAGAGACTTTAACTATAAAAAAAAATATATATATATATATATTTATTGCTAGGAATCATTAGTAATTGAGTAATAAAAGTATTTAACAACTTTAAGCATTTACAATTCTGATTTAATTTTAAATAACATGATAATGTATTTGTTTTTATATTTGCAATTTCTGTTAATATTATATATGACATTGTATTATAACATTAGTTACTATTTAAAATCAACAATAGAACTATAATTATTTTGCAATTTACTCATTAATATGTGAATATAAATAATATTTGAACTTTAAACAATAGTAGTATTGAACTTTCTAATTATAAATTAGTATGCATAATTATTAAGCCTTTGCTAATCATAATATTAGTATTTAAAATATATATATCAATATATATATAGTATATACATATAACTCTTTCCGTAAATCCTTTTCACACAAAAATAACTAAAAATCCGTCAGTACTAAAATCGTTAATACCTGGTTATTTTATTAAGATAACCAACCTTGGT